CAGTCAAAAGCCAGCCGAATGGCAGAAAAATACCCTCCAACTTCCAGCCTTCTCCTGGACGTGCATATTTTTTCACTCCACCCTTCCACTGAATTACAGGGTCTGACCAGGAGATACTGCTTCTTTTTAGATGTCAATATCCACAAATCATGACAAAAAGAATATTTTTGTACAAAGATTGATGTTTAAAAAGGAATTGTAGGGGACTAGCCAAGGGCTGGGGGAAAGTTTCAATAGCTACTAGGTATCTCCATGCTGGAAGGTTCTTTAGGACTCATAAATGGATATGAATGTTGAGTTTACTGGGACTCCAACAGGAATCAAGTACTTTGTTTAGTGGAAGTTTTCAGCAATACACACTTAAGGTGGATCTTAACTAAGCACCCCAGACTGAGTATCTGTCATGCTGTGGGCCTGTTTCGCTTCCAGTGAGGCAACATAAACCAAAGCAAATGATTTGGAAAATGTTTTCAGTGTAATTGCTGCCTTTGATGATGCAGCTGATGATCCCTGCTGCTAGAACTGGTAACTGGTGACTCTTAAGTAATGAATCTACATTTAGGAGAAACCAGACAGAAACTCATCTGCAATTCTTGGTGAAACTTTGGATGCTGCTCAGGTAAAACTGACTGCAATGTCCTTCTGTTTTTTTTTTTGTTCCAGAGAGAGTGAGAGCCAGACAGATAGAAGCTATATTTAGAGGCGGCACTGCCTTGTACTGTATGGGTGTGTAATAAATCTGTTGTGCCATAATAGCGACCCGTCTGTGTGTGTGTGTGCTTTAAGGATGAATGGTGGCCTGTCTGACCCCCCCTCTCCCCCACCTCCACGATGCTGCGGCTCTCAGCTAATTGGTCGTCTCCTTAAGTGCTGCTGCTGCACTATTCTCCAGATGGGATGGAGAGGAGAGACAGAGGAAGAGGAGGGGATGAGGAGAGAGGAAGTGCTCGGAGAGAGCAGAGTGATTGATGGCAGAGGAGAAGAAGCTGCATCGATAGGATGCTGGAATAAAAAGGGGAAGGAAGGATGAAGGGTGAAATAAACGAGTGAAGGAATGTAAGCTAAAGGGGTCATGGGCTTTAAAAGCAGAGCCAACATGGCTCTGTGCCAACATATGTTATATATGCTGCAGTTTATTTAAAGTTTCTCTCCTAGATCCAAGACTTTTAATAGGAAGTCTTGGATCTACATCAATAATTGACTGATGCACTAATTTAGTTAAACACTAGTTTATTTTCCTGGTCTACATTTATAAAAACTTGTCTAATCTGATGTCCTCATCTAATTCTTGATGCCTCCTGAGCTAAAAGAAAACAAAACTTATGTTTAATTTAACCCCTTCCTGCATTGGCTTTAAAAAGCCTTTTTTTCCCCCTTACTATGTGTTTTAGGTTTTGAAATTTTTATCTCCCTTAAACTAATAAGCATTTTCATCCAAAAAATTTAAGACGGGGACTGAAAGCAAAATGGCTGCCAAACACAACACTTTTTTTTTTTTTCTCAAACCTGTGGGAGGTTTTCGGTTATAGGAGAATAACAATGCACTGCTGGCTGTTTGATTAAAGCAGTGTTTTCAAATCCAACAGATTGAATTGGAAAAACCAGCCCCAATTTATGCCTTGAAGTAAACATCACTAATGCAGGGAGTAAAAAGTACATGAGAAATGTGATTTTTTTTTTTAGAAGGAAAGCAGTGGAAATCAGTAACGGACAGCAATTAGGGATTAGTTATCAACCAGAGGCTCTTTTTTAAACTTGTTGTGTGATGCAAAAAAAAACACCACATGCAAGCCTATTTGTTCTTCCGTAAAATCAACCAGAATTAATCAAAGTAGCGTTGAACTGTCTTAGCTAGTTTTCATATTTATTGCAATTGTTTTTTAGTGTATTTTGTTTTATTTGAAATAAAGTCCATCCTCTATAGGAAGGATCCCAACTATTAACATGCCTGTTGGATAATGTCTCCCACCCCATGCATGAAGCTGCTGCAGAACTGGAGTGCTCCTTCAGTGACAGACTGCTGCACCCTAAATGCACCAGGGAGCGTTATCACAGATCCCTCCTCCCAGCAGCTGTAAGACTCTATAACCACCACTATTCCCAACAACCTCAATAAGTTGTTACATTCATGCTGATTTTGCAAAGTTCAGTTAAAAAAAACATGCTGCTGTATTTTTGCAGATCCCTGATGTGGCTGCTATTTTCAAATATCCATTACTATAAATGTCCATAGCTGTTTATTGGTTATTTATTCTCCATGTGCACAGTTTATATTGTTAAAACACTTTATAGTTCAGTATTTTATTGTTTATCTTTTAACTCTTCACTATTGTTATTCTTGTACATTTTTCTACGGTCAACATTTGTGAGACCATTTTTTTGGAAAATATTTTTGCTGCTGTAAACACCAGAATTTCCCCATTGTGGGACAATAAATTGATTTTTTATTTTATTCTATTCTGTTGTATTCTATTCTGTTCTTAGAAACAGGCTTCCACATGCAGGTTAGAGACTGAGTTGTTCTTTTGAGAACCTAAAATAGTTTTTGTTGTTTTGATAACCTCCTCTAAATGTTTTCTCTTGTTCTTCTGTCTAAATTGCAATATAAGTTAGATCTATGTAATAAAAATTGATGGATTTATGGAAAATATGGTCCTTAAAAAAAAAGGTGAAGTTGGTGAAGATGACCAGCTTAATACTGGCACCTTGTGTGCTTTCAATGACCCAAATACACACACACAAAAAAAAAAATAATTAATAAAGTTTTTCTTTCCTCAAAATTCATTTTTTGGGGGAAATTCCTCCATTGAACCTTAAATCTCATTTTATTTCTCCATTTGTACTTTTCCTAGTAAAAAATCAGTATATATACCTGTAGCATCTCAAACTCTAAATGTTTTAGATTTCTAGATGAAATGAAGGTAATACTGAGTGAACGATGTTTGATTGTGAGTAAAACCACAAGGATGAGGAAGAGGAGGAATAATCGATGTCATCTGTGGTGAATGAAGCGCTTCAGGCCAAGACGCAGCAGTAACCCGCGACTCTTTTCATCAGACAGCCTCTGTTATTTCCCACACACACTCACAGACGAACCCTTGCAGCAGGTGGGCCTTTTGATTTTTTACCCAGGAAGAACCGTGTCTCATTTGCATACAGATGCCCCCTTCAGAGCAGAGGAAGGGTTTATGTACACGCACACACACAGCCCCTTCTGTTCCATCCCTGCAGACCGACCCCCAGACAACACTCTCCTTCTTTTTCTTTCCTGCACTCGTCTCCCTTCCTCCCATCCTTCTCCTCTCATCGCTTCTTCTGGGTTTCACCCAAACAGATCACAATCCACGTCTGTGTGCCTACAAATACGAGGTTTAGATCCTCTACTTAAGTGTGAAGGCATTCTTTGGATTTATATATTCTAGGAAGTTTTCTCCTCTCTCTTATCTGTGCAGTAGGGGATTTGTTTGCCGGTGGAGTTGCATGTATGTGCATCGATGCATGCGTCTGAGTCTGTGTGCATCTTGGAGGCTCTTGAACCCTGCATCTGCTCTGGCTGGCAGAGCTTTCAGGAGTCTAATGCGCCGATGTCAAACAACAGCCGCTTGTTTGCAGACCTCCACACTGAAGTGATGCACAAATTCAAACACTCTTAAACACACACAAACAAAAAGAAAAACGGATTTAAAGCTTAATAAATTCTTGGAGACAACGGCATAAAGCAGGAGCATGAGCGCAGCTGGGCTGAGCAGATGATGTGTAATGACACAATATCTTCACTTCCTTCATGTTTTTACCACGATGCATCAAACTAAATTCCTGTTTTTGCCAAAAATGCAACACATCTCTTTAAAGTTAAAGTAAAAAGCCAGAAACCAAAACTGTGAAAACCCCTCAAAGCTCAAGGGTCAGAAGCTGCAATTTACCCGGACCAAAAAAAAAAACCCAATACATATGAAAAGTTGGAATAAATATTAGCTGAGTTTCTGATATTACCACTTTACATTTAGGGCAATTCTGTGTGGTTTATACCTCAAACTGAAACCTTCTTCAAAAACTTACATGAAAATATAAATTTGGGTTAAATAGTTTACTTTATGTTACTATTTTCCTGACCTTTTTGCCACAGACACTAAAATATAAACAATTCCCGTATTTCACAGGATGTTTGTTAGCAACAAGCAATAAAATATCCCTTAAATCTGCATCAGTAAAAGCTTTTTTCTAATTTGTTTTCAAACCAAGTCAGCTTTTGGCTGCTGATTGTGACTTAATTTGTTGCAGCTGTCTTCAGGCATCTCTGAGCTTTTAAGGAAAAATTGTGCGTTTATAGTTTCAAATGTAACCAAAAACCTATTTAACTGAATCCTCTATTAGCAACACTTCACTGAATCTGAGGGACGCCTTCCATAAGCATGTAAGTGCATGGATATTACAGCACATGGATTTAGTTTAGAAACTTTCATTTGTTGTCTTATGGATTGAAGAAACATTCGGCTCAGCCCAACATTTTAAGGAAAAAATGCAAAAACATTTTGCATTACTCATCCGTCCAGCCAGCTGAGGCCTCCCCCCCCCCCCCCCTCCCCTCCTAATCCAAATGTCACATCAGGGCAGCATTCAGAGTTTAGACAAACACAACGTCTGATCCAGTAATCCTGATCTCTGCCGGTGTGTGTGTGTGTGTGTGTGTCTGCATGTTTTAATGTCCCAGAGGATTTAAAAATTCCCAAACTACAAATCACTCTAACAGCGTAGAAATTCACCAAATTGCTCCAGATTTGTCTCAGAGAAAATGAGGCTTTGTCCTCATGTGGAGTTTTTGGGTCTATGGACTATCATCATTTACAGGAGCCAACAGCAGAGAGAATTAAGACAAAGTTAAACAAAACACCTTAAAAGTCCACAGCAGCATCCATCCATCCATCCATCCATCCATCCATCCATCCATCCATCCATCCATCCATCCATCCATCCATCCATCCATCCTATCCTATCCTTACCAGGGTAGAAGTCTTTGGATTTTGACAGTTTGATGGTGGCTCCAGTCTCTTTCTGTAGCTGAACGATGGTCTGGCCTCCCTTCCCGATGATGGAACCAGCAGCATAGCTGGGAATCAAAACCTTCAGGAAGTACTCGCCTTCCTCTGCAGCAGGAAACAGGAAATAGGAAGTCAGAGAGAAAGAACTTCTGCATTGCAATGTTGGTTTTGTCACAAGTAGAGCTAAAAACATATCCATGCTTTCTAAAACCTTTGTCCTCATGCATGCCTTCAGTTTGAAAAACATTCCTTAAGATTTCCGACCGTCCAGGTCCTCCCAAAGCTGCACAAATCCAACCAGTTACATCAAATGATGACTGTTATCTATGGCAACTAATTATTTCCATAACCGGATGATTCCTCGCCATCGTTATCTTCCCTCTTCCTCAGCCCAACCATTTGAGCAAACCTCTAAACGCTCTCTGCAGATTGGTCTGATCTAATTTCAGTGTGGGATTTCAGGAATCTGGTGCTCGTCATCATCTTGGCACGTGGCGAGGAACACGCTGTACGGCGGTTTTACTATTAAAGCTAATCAGATTCAAATGGAGCGCACGCATGGTTTGAGTGTGGGGCGCATCACACTGTATACCTGTCATGACATGCACTGTAAATCAGTCGGTAAAAAGAGGTCAAGGAAAGCAGATTTAAATATTTCACTGGAAAGATATTTCCAATTCCGTATACTGTGCTCCTTTCCTATTGGACTGTTCTAGTCAGGCCTGATTTCAGTAAGATCAGTCTGATTTATGAGGGAAAACCAACCTGTTCTATCTAGCAGAGTGTTGTAAACAGGACAAGAGATTCTCAGTCACTGCAGCGTTCAAAGTATCCTCAGTTAGTCCCAAACAGATCGCATTGGTGGCTGATTCCTTGGTTCCTGCTTTGGTTTCATTTCAGTTTGCTCACCTCAGGCAATATTGACAAATCCTCTTTCATGCTTCTATCCATCTAAAGATGAAAAATCTGGATGCTATAGACTGGAATTTACCACAAACAGAGTGTGTTCTTTCTTTAAATGAGATTCAAATTAATACTCTTTTTTTAATATTAACACAATTTGTCCTATTTGTTCAGTAAACATCTAAATGGATTTAAATGTGACTCCTTATCATCATTATTGTGCACTTAAATTTAAAGTATACATGGCCATAAAGTGCAGATTACTTACTATCCACACCAAACTGACTTTATTACCTTAATTTTTTTTCTTAGATGTTCCTTTTGTAGTAACTGCTTTAGTTATTCACCCCTCCCAACCAAAGAATAAATAAATATACAAAAACAGCTGTGTATGAGGACATCCTGATTTAAGATTTATTTTTCCCACAGAAAAACAAAAAGTTTTTTTTTATAATGAAATAACAAAATTCCATCAAGAAAAATGGCCCATTTCATCCTGTCTACAGTTTCATTCCCATCTTTTTGTCATCCAGGGGGTGTATTTGTACCTGGCTGTATGTATTTACCTGTCATGACATTTCAACCCATTTTGACCAGTTTTTCTTGAGTCTACTCTTAATTAAGCATCAGAATTGAACTTAATTTGCGAAAATAAATTAGCCCAAATATAAGATTTTGAAAATATATATAAAAAAGGCTGATCTGTACTTAATAATGTTATTAGGAATAAAAACTATAACTCAGAACAGATTGAATTGCATTTTTTATGAGCCAGAGCTAACTAACAGGAATACTTAGGTTTTGATTTTGAAATTCCTATAACTGAAACATTTTCTCTTTTTTTAAGTAAACCTGTAATCCACAAATTCAAGGTTTCTGGTTTTGATTATTTAAAAAAAAAGCAGCAGAATTTGTCCTTCAGATTCTTTAAAAAATCAAAAACTAAAACAGAATCCAAACAATTCAAACAAATATAATCCTTGATAGGTTTGGGCTTATTCATCGGCCTTTGGATAAATAAATTGCATATTCCTATAGAAAAAAAAAATTTATAATAAAAAGAAATCAGTCTTTGGTCATAATTTCAGAGCACTTTACAGCTAAAACCAAGCAGCAGCTCTTCAAAATGGTTCCTTATTGTTAAAAAAAATATGAACGGAATAAAATATATTATCTTTTGAACCTCCAAGATGAACTGTGCAGCATTTTATGCTTTTAACTGTCCACAGGTTAGAAATCAAATCATCAATAAATCTTAAAAACAAATTAAATTCTAGTCTTTTACTCAGGGATGCAAAACAAAATGTAAACAAATTCAAATATATCAATTCTGCAGTACCGTAAGAAAACTATAAACTAACACAAAAATATTTCATAAAAGAAATAGGATCATGCATCACTAAAATAATTGTCTTAGACATAATTCAATATCTGCTCTATCTTGTCTCGTGTATAATACATGATGTATGATTTGGTGATACTTAATGTGGCGTTTTTTTAACTGATAGTAGTTCTGTGTATTTTAGCCTTGTAGCATTTATTATATCCAACCAATCCAGGACACATAACCTCTGGGAATATATAAAAATAGGATTACATTTTCTCACTGCTGTTTCCCTGTCTGTTATCCACCAAGAAGTCACTGGAGCACTCTGCTTTGACTTCAGGTCCGTAACAAGGAGCCAGTGACGGAGGACGTTCTGTTTAAATATATTTTCTAATGACTTTCTAACAGATCATATGTTTTGCTTTAGTACATGTATAACTGTATCTAGCTGAATGTGTAATCGGGGTTGTCATTCTTGCAGCTGATGTGTCGGATAAAGAAACTAAAGTCTATAAAAGATCTGGACCTAAAAGAGAAGAGATAGAAGGTGCAACGGAAATTTCAGGAGAAAAAGGTGAATAAAGCTCGAAAAAGACTTTCATGTAAGGTCTGTACAGGGAGTTCAGCACACATGTTGCACTTGCAAATGTGTTTCCACTTCCACTACTTAAGCTAATTAGCCTGCATCTCCTGTCAAAGCTCCATAGCTCTGGAAAATGTACATTTCCACTTTTAAAGGTAAAGTTCATAGGAGCTGTATACATGTTTATGTAGACTACCTTGAGATGACGTGTTGTGACTTTGCGCTATATAAATAAAATAAATTGACATTCCACATTAAAACATTAATACTTACATAACCTAAAGAAAAAGCTGCTAAGTAACTCATTATTAAAGCTGCATAAAAAAAAAAATCCAGCATCTTAAACTTCAAGATTTTCTTTGCTCCACTAAGTTTATAAATAGGGAAATGTACACATTTTGAACCAAAAGATTGAAGCTTTTTCCTTTAAAATAAAACATTAAGGAGATTTCCCATTCCACTTTGTATTACTGTGGACGTTGGTGAGGGATCACCACAGAGTAGTTGGATGGGGTCTTTTTGTGTTCAGCCAAGTCAAAGCTGACACCAACAGGAAATCTGACACTCCCCTGCCCTTCCTCAGCCCTGCGAGTGATGAAATACAAACTGCAGGATGATGAAGAGGAAAGAACAACTATGCAAACCTCAGTTTACCCAGAGGGAATGCCCCCTCCCCGTACTAAAAAACGTTTTTATTTCTGATTCTAAGAGCTCTTACAAACTGGAGCAATAATATAAACATAAAAACACACATGGTGATGACTTTCTGAAACCTCTGCATCTTGTTCTCTATAACAACATCCACCAGATTATTGCTTATCTTTCTTTTTTCTTTTATTCCAACAGACATTTTAAACCAGCTCTATTCCATATAACCAAACTGATCATACACACTTCTTTCTATATTTTTATTTGGTTAAAAAAACAAAAAAACAACCCAATTTTATTAAAACATAAAACAGACTATCATGAAATTTGGACTGATTGTAATAATTTTGTGCTACACAGCTTTGATTTTTGAAACAGAAGGTAAACCTTACCACCTCCTGAGATTACTGATCCAATGATGATGTAATGTTATAATGCCAAAAGCATCTCATAGATTCTGACAGCAGCACTTTGCTTTGAAGCTTAAAGATGTGTCGCATTGTGTCTGCTTTATTTCTCTTCTCTTTCTGCTCTGGTTTTTCCTAATTTTTCCTTGCTTAAGCCACCCTGCAGGTTCCTCTACAGTTCTCTAAAACCCAATCCCATCTCCTCTCCCCTCTGCAGTGACCCACTTTGGTTAAGAAGCCTCAAACTGACCTGCTTTAGATAGAGCTGGCTAATTATAACAGCCCCATATTAATAAGGCTGGGGAATTGGTAAATACCAAACACGCATGTACACACTCTCCTATCTAGACGCAAATGGAAAAGTGTGTGTGCATCAGCGAGCATGTAAAGGAACACGTTCTCCCCAGCAAACAGATCGTTTCCGGCATTTCATAAACAGGCCTTCTACACCTCGGCATCATGAGTAATATAAGATGTAATACATGAATCACATTCATCGTTTTCACTCGCATGGTGACATTGGTACGTGCATTCATTAAACAAGTAGTTATGCCCAGTAAAAGTAATTTAGAAAGAGGATTTATAATATAGCATTCCATCTGTCAGTTGCAAATTCTAATCGTGGGACAGTTTTACTCTAAAAGCAAACGATTAGAGGATGTCTCCTCAACAAACCACATGACAGAAGGGCAGTTTGGGGGGTTTCTTAGGAGACACAGATGGGGGATGTACTGCGGTGATGTCAGTGGAAAGCTGAGAGCTATTACACAACCTATGAAAACATTAGTGTAAAAAAATATACAACCGGTCAGGGTTCAGCCACATCAAACGGCAACTGAACAGATGTCTAGAGGTCTGATTTTACACATTTTTTAATTAATTGCATAAATCCCTTTCCTTTATCGTTATTAGACGCTAGAATATTGAAAGAGTGAGAACTTCAAAGTTTAATGATGGCTACTCAAAGCAAGATAAAATCTAATGGAGTAATTTGGAGAATCAGATAAGAAATGATTATAGAAATTCTAAGGCACTGCTAGCCTAAAAATGGCTAAAGTACATCAGACGACTTGAGGTTATCTTGAACTATCTCTGTAGTTATGCTTCTATAGGCTTAGACTTCTGGAGGACATAGAGACCCCTATTTCATCATTCATCATTTTGCTTCATTCAATCTATTCCTCCACTCTGCAGAATCTATTTCAATCTCTAACATCATGCTCCCTTGCTTTTTCTC